TGGACAGATAACCAATTTTTCTAAATGTTTGTGCCACAACAAAGACATTCATATGAATGTTTACAGAAACAGATCTGCATAAAAGAAATAATTAAATTACGTAATGGTTAGAATATATTCAAGGAGGAGAAGAAAATATTATAGAACTGGAAAGCGAGAGAGTAAAAAATATTGTTCAAACAGAAAGCGAGATGGATATCGAAAATCTAAAATAGGGGCGCCCACCATTTCAAGAAAGGAAAAGGTTGGATTTCAGACTAAACCAAAAATAACTGTGGAAAAAAATGGTGTGTTGTATAATTTATATAATATTGTAACGAAAACTCGTTTGTTAACCATTTTTAAGGTGGGCAAGTAAAGCGCATTAGCTTATAGCAATTGAGGCGGGAAGGGGGGAGGCAAAGAAATGAAAGTGGTTATACACACAACAAAATTTCGCATCTAAACAAATCTAATTCAAATCAAATCTAATTCAAATAAAATCAAAGTTAAATTACACTTAAACTTCGCAAATACCGCACATTAACAAACCGCATAATGATATAAACACTTCAACAATCAACTTTTACAAATCTTAACCTAATGAACACAACGGTGTTGCTACACGTCTTAATACTATAGAACACAACGGTGTTCTTAACACATATTACAAAAGAGAACAAAGAACAAGTTAACTAACTTATCGCGCTTACAAATCTATACGAAATACAACGCGCGTCGCCCGGCAGATGACCGCCTTGACGATGAACCGACTTAGGCTATTTAACTAAAAGAGAAAGTCGCCCGGCGAGGGATCATCTGGACGATTTCTATTTGAACGATTTATGACGCCGACCGTAATCAGGGCAGCTAGCTGGCGTGTGCACGCCTTGCTACCTACCTAACGTTTACAATTACGCGCTCTGCCATATCGCTGAAGAGAGAGAGAGAGAAATTAACTTGCAAGACTTGATCTCCGATACTGGAACGGGAAACCTGGTTGCACCCTGCGCACGATGTTGCTGGCTTTCGCTGAGCAACTCCTGCCGGCTTCTCCGAGTAGCGTCCCGAGCAAATGCTGGAACAAGACAATCGTCTTCTGTCCTCTCGGTTCTCGTCGGCCCTTGGCGGTGTGTGCGTTCGGCTAGCCCTTTGTCTTCAGCTGCACTTCGACTTTTTCTACCGCTGGCCGTCTACCGTCTTACTGGAAACCTTCTGACTCTGACTGCTCGCTTAATATATAAATCACATTTGCATATACATAGAATTAGTTTTATTTTTCAACAATGAATTTCTACACTGTCTGTAAGTGTCGAATCACCTCCTTTTTCAATTCATGTGAATCAGATCATACTTCTAATCCGATAAATAAATTTCGAATGCCTTCTATCTAAACCTTAAAAAGTGCTCTCATTACTTTTATTATTATTACGTCTTCTATTAGTAAAATGAATTGTGCTGTATTCTGTATAAAACCTTGTAACGGACGCATTATGTATTAGAGTAGAGGCAATGACCTATCGAACGTTTCGCACTTAGAAAACAGCGAATCTCGCTATGTCGTCTCGCGCGAAAAGTCAAATTCGATAAACACAATAGGTGAAAGACCGTTCAATGTTCCGTCAACCTCCAAATTAATATACAAACTAAGGAGAAATTATATCTTACACAAATGAATTTTAATCTAGCAAACGAATAACATACTTAATGCTCTAATTTACCTAAATTGCAATTGAAGAGAATTTGAAAATTGATAACAGTTTAACACTACAGTTATTACAAAACTAGTTATTAATCGATATTTGTGTTATATAAATTAAAAAGCCATGAACTATAATAAATGTAATTAAACAAATTCATGAATTTATCATGAACATCTGTAAATAATACAAATAACTTGAAAAACAGCTAAGATTGACTTTAATCGATGTTGTTTGATAATATTCCCTGCATTATTCGCATACGTATAAGTCATTGAAAATGAGTAGATATCTATAAAATAATTATAAGTGAACGATTACTCAGTTTCATAAATAATTGGCTGTATCAAAACTCATAACATTCTGTTGATTTATAAAAAACTGAAGTAAATACTAATGTGAAATACATGGAAAAATTGCGAGAGTTCATAGACAAAACGGCGCTCTAGAATTTTCAATGTGCTAAAACAGTGACACTTGTAACTGAAGTAGTAGGGTAAGATTCGCATTCCGCTTCTAGGTATAAATAGGCCGGCGTGCGTTGTTTTGATCAGCATTGATCTGAGCACCACGCAGGGAATTGGACTGAGGTTGAATAAATGACTGATAACAGTCTTTATAATTTTGATAATTTTGTCTATCTGTTTGTCGTTTCAGAACCTTGCCCTTCATCTTAATTTAGATTACGTCCGGATTATTATTTCTATCCGAGAGATAGCATACTTCTAAGATTATTATTAATCTATTATATTTGCATAATCAACAATGGGGAGAGTGACCTTTTATTAATGCGCTGATGCTCTGTAGTTGATTTTCCTGCGGTGAGGGTAAAAATAATTAGTCATACGGCCCACTGTAACTAGTTATTGCTCCGAAATATTATTTGGGAGCAACTGCTAGTTGCTTTTCATTATTCATACAATCATTATCATCACATTCGCGTGTTTATATTATAACATGGATTTAGCCCGGTTTACTCCGTGAGTTTATAAAATAATGAATGGGTAATGGTCGAGTGAATGAAGTCTGAATTTCTTAGACGTAGTTGTCTTTCAAGGTACGGTGTTCGTCGGCGACAGGACGGCCGGATCAGCACAGATTCGTCGTGTTAGCTAAGAAGCACGAAAGTCGGTAATTCGTAGGCGAATGTCGGTGTGAGAAGGTAGGGTGTTCGAATAAAATAGCGGGATATAGATATAGTAGAACGTCTACAAGATTCTTTAATGGCAAATAATTAACAAAGACCTGCCGCCGATTCATTATTACCGTGAGCCGATACGCGATTACCACGACGTGAGAGCATCATATTTGCTTTTTAGTTTGTGAGCTACGATTATTTTGTATTTTCCTTTTCTTCATTATTTTGTATTTCTTTTATTATTATTTTGTATCTTCTCTTTTTCGATAACCTTGTATGATATTGCATGATATTGTATTTTACGCCGTTCCGATTGATTACTCGCGGATTTTGCTTAACTGTTAATTTTCCTTTTTTTTTTCTTGGTTTTCCTTTTAGTATTAAAGATTATTGTTGATTCAGACTCAGTTTCGATTATTCTCCCCTCAGTCACTCCTGATCCCAAGTATCAATCCGCCTACGGTTAACGTGTGTGCTCGACGCGTTATTTAGCCGCGGGAACGATCTCCGCTTCCCGAATCCCCGAAAAATAATTTGTACGGACAGTCACGAGCCATCCATTGAAGGACGACTGGATTTCTCCGTTACAAACTAGTGACTGACTTCTTGGTCTTGGAAATGTTCCAGCCCACTCATCAAATCTTATGCAGTAGTATTTATTGAAATATAGTGTTGCGCAACTCTACCAACCTCCATACAGTCTTGATATGCTCACTGCGACTTTTAGCTGTTTCCCCGATTGAAAATGCTGCTTAATGGAAATCGATTCAACGATAAAAACAGTATTGAACTAATGCTACGAATGCATTAAAGGCAATACTGAAGTCTGACTTTTAAGAGTGCTTTAATAATTAGAAACATGGATATGAGCATTTTATTCAATCAAATGGGGATTACTTTGATGGATGCCGCCCTCCGAATGGCGAAGATTAAATCAAGCACCGAGAAATAGGTAGGTCGGACACTTTTGGGACAGATCTTGTAAGTGGTCGTTCAACGGTATACCATGGCCAAATAAGTAATAGATATTTGATGCTTGGAAAAGCTACTTTTGTATAATTGCGGATGATTTATAGTGCAATGTTACCTATGGTTCTGAGATACGAGAAAGGGTGGCCATCGTGATACTGGAGAGAGCTACAAATTCGAACGAAGATGATTTATCTCGATTGCATCAAAAGTCAATACAGCTGAATATAATAATATTATCTATACTGCCTTTACATCTATACTATATCTATACTACTTCCTGGCTGTTTTGGATTCTACAGATCCGGATAACTTAACCACGTGTATAGCATCAACTTACCGATAGAGCGCTATCTACACCTATAGGTGTTATGAATTGAAGATTATAAATTTATTTGATTTTATAAACTCAAATACGTTCTTTTAGAATAAAGATGTCCATTCAAGTTTAAAATACGATTACAACTTGGTGAAAAAAATCTCCTTTATCGTCTGCGCTATACACATAAGTAAATCGGATAGCTTATACCTATAATTCAATGCTGTATATAAGCAATAAAAATCAGGTATCGGGCTGTTGTACCAAGTCGAAAAATTTAAGAAATTTAAGGTAGCTAAAGAATATTAGGCGTTATGGATACGAAAACGATAAATTAGGCATAATCTTTCCATGTTGTCTTGCATATTCCGGAAATCGTGATCACCCATATGCAGATATAGGTATAAGCAATAATAGGCTATAAAACAACTCGCATGTATGTCACTGTGAACGAACCGTAAAACAAAGTGACCTTAATATTACCATAAATCGTTACATTAAAATCAGTGCAAATTTTCGATTATATTTATACGAGCTTTGATAAATGTAAAAAATAAATTTTTATTTTATCTCATGGATGTTTTTATGGTTACATTTTATTCTACGTGATGAAAAAGTGACTTTCATTTTGACCGTATATGATCAGTTTTAGAAATATTTCTATTTCATAGTTATTCGTCATATAACCTTCAGCTATTTATCTCTAATTATTTACATTTAGTTTTTTAACTTCTTAAATTTTTTTCAAATTTTTCAATTAACTATTTTATAATACGAGCATGATGGCTATAAGTTAAACAAAAATTAGAACAGTTAACGGTCAATATAGATTTATTATATTATTTAATATATTAATTTTTTATGTAATATATGCGCGTATCATTTACCTTTTCAGATGCAAAAGGACTCACTGACGTCAATACCATAAAGAAGATTCGTTTCGAAATACAACTCAACTTGGAAGATTATATCAATGAACGCCTTCATGAAAAAAAAGGTCGTTTTGGAAATATATTATTAACATTACCTGCTTTACAATCAATAACATGTGAGATGATTGAACAAATTCAATTTGTCCGGTTATTTGGAGAGACACACATTGATAGTTTATTGCAAGAGATGCTTCTTGAAGGATCAATGATAGATGTTAGTAGTATAAATCAACAATTATTACCGTGTCATGTCTTCAATAATAATAATTCTATCAATTTAATTAATTTAAGTAACAAAATTGATATATTTCAAAATACTGTTTCATCTTTTTCTACACAAAATTCAAAATCTGTAAAAGCCTCTTTTGTTAAAACAGAAATTGACTAATTTGAAATATTTTAAAACATCGTTTTGGCCACATTCTAATTGCATTTTCACCTATATATATATATATATATATATTGCATTTGAAAGTTATAATGTAACTTCAATTATCATTGAAATATATATCAAGTGGATTTCCTATAGAAATGCAAATTTACGAGTATCTAACAGTTTATGTGAAAATTTATTACATAATTTTTTACATTATGTACCTTATTACATTAATTATATGTATACATTATTATTCATTATTACATAATAAATTACATATCCATAAGATAAATAGGCTTAAGAAAGATGTCGATTTAAAAAATGAAAATTTGACGTTTAAATAACCTCCAGTTGACTATCACCCTGGACATGTACAAATCACCACCGTGTTGCACGTTCAAAAATTTAAAAAACGATTTCAAACAAAATTTTGCAACAATGCGTTCTCCAAAAGCCATTCAAATCAACATTTTAAATGAACTAGGATAAAAGATTTTTTCTAAAAATATTATTGTCGTATCTATTATATAATTTATTTATTTTATAACGGGATATGATTTCCGTGTGTTAGTACCTATATCTCACTTGGTATGCAGTTGTGCTTGAATGCACGCGATGAGAACAAAAATAAGCGATATTAACTAATCGAGGAGCGGGGAAGAACGGGTTGCAGTTAACCAACTAAATAAAAAAAGGGACGAAAGCAAATTATCGCTTTGGTAGTACAAAATTGTTTATTCGGACTAATCTTACAATAGATTTGGCTCGCGCGAGAACATTTATTCGAAATGTACGATAGCGTTATGTTCCGCCATTTATTCGTCACCGCGCATTCAATTTGCTCGCTCGCTCGCTCGCTACCGGTTTCTTAATATTCGCGGACGTGAGGGGACAGTTAAAATATTACCCGGCTGTTTGATATAATTATGACGCGAAGCTGGCCAGCTTACCTTGAACAATTCGCCGTGTTATCAGGGGGAGCAATTCGTCGTCGCCTTTCGACGTGTCGCTCAAGTTGACGTTTTTCAATATTTGTACGAGGCCTCCTCAATTGCCCTGCCGCTTCCACTGGATCGATTCGACAACTTGTGACCGGCACACAATGGCCCCGAAGTAAAGTTTACAGCAGTGACAGGTTAATTACAATTCACGTGTTTCTGCGACTTCTCTCTAGATTCCTGGATATTACGCTTCCCAAGCACTGTCTGTTGCCGATGCCAGAGGTACTCTCTTTCACACTGATCCTTCTCTCTTCGCGCGCTTTCTGCCCTATTTTGGACCGAGTTTCCTTTTTTTTTCCCTCGGTCAGCAGGTGCTACTCTCGCGGGTAGCTATGCGATCGAGACGGTAGTGCAAATCGGACGCTTACCGTCTCAATTAGTAAGTTATTATAATTAAATAACGAATTTATTATTTAACTTATGACAATTAGATAGGTCTTAACAACAAGTATTTGAGTGCTTAAAAATATTTTTTTTTTAAACAAAATGTCGGTGATTTCGATGTTCTTCAAAAAAGCGATGAAAAGTTGGTGGGAATTTTAGCGGCCTTGGAATGGAATCTGAAACATGTTGGAAAAAAAACATATAACAGTGATTTTTTAAGAATACGAATGTGCCTATATTATAAAAAATTGAAATATTATTATAGTTTCATCAATCCGAAAAAAAACTTTTTATTTTTTTGAATATTTTTTAAACATACATGAATTATTCCGGGAAATATTATATATACATACACACACACACACACACATATATATATATATATATATATATATATATATATATATATATATATATATGTATGTATGTATGTAAAACCATACTTATGCGGACAAAAAATCATTGATGTTTTGATTGATGGAAATGGTTCATTATCTATTATTGATTATAATTATGTAAATTATATGACTTTAGTTTGTTTAGAAATGAATAAATTCAATATTTTAGGAAATCCCAAAATATAATAACTTTTGCAGACTAGTCTGCATAAGTACGAAAAAATTGTGCGGACAGTCTGCACAATTCAATAGATCCTGTGCGGACAGTCTGCACAAGTCTTTTAACTTATGAGGACAAATAAATACGTAGAACCGTAGTTATGCGGACGTTATGACTCAGCGTTGCCGCTGGAAAAGTTTCTCTCCGGGCCCCTAGAAAATAGCCCCCCAGATCATCTGTTATGACTGTTTTCGAAGCAAATAAAAATTTGGTAGCAGTGATTGGTGATTGGCTGAATTATTTACCTCTGGTATTCAGAAAGGACTAAACAGTATGACCACAACATAGTTTACACGTAAGTATATCTCTATGCAAATATTCTCTACACATAATTTTTCGATTGTTAATAACTTTTGAAAGATTCATATTGTTTTGGGCGCAATTTAGTTTTCGTATAGTGCAAATCAATATGAATAATTTTATACATCATAAAAAGTATTTTTTTTCAAGTGCCCGTTAACTTTGTGATTCTCTACACTATCAATGCTGTATCGCTGACCGGAAAACGGATTTCTTTCTTTTCATTTTGGCGCCATTCGAATCTCCATGCCTCTGGTCAGTTAAAAATCTAATCCAAGAGTATCAAAGAAATCAGAATATTTTCTAAGATGTACGCCTTGCTGCAGAGAAAAGATAATAATTTCCATATAGTATTAAAAAATCAATATTTGAAAAAAAAAGCTAATGGAATTGTGACCTTCAAATTAAATAACGAACCTCCAGTGGAATGCATATTACACGCTACAAATGGTAAAAATTTCCGTTTTTTTTTGTACTATTATTAACATGAAAATATTAATTTATTCAAGGTAACTTATTATTACCATTTTAAAATTATTGTTTCCTAGTGAATAATATTTATAAAAATTTTCAAAAGTTGAACTTAAATGAAAAGAATCTCCTTTGAGCAAGATCATTTCTCATAAGGGCAGCCTGAAATGAACGTTTATTGCTCGTTTATACGTTATATTGCATTGTTTACAACTCTTGCTGCATTCAAAGTATATAACGTGATTATTGATTTATTAGTGTTCAAACCTCCATTACTATAATGCATAAAAATCAATAATTTCATACAATCATAATCAAAACCACTACATACTGTTCTTATTTTACCTTATACCTATAGTGAACATTTTTTTTGTAAAATTGATGAAAAAAATTGAATATTATTGAATTGGTTGTGAAGATCCACTGTCATTTTGGATCTTTTATACAAAAAAAATCAGGAGTCAAAAAAAAATGATTCACACACTTTGGCATACTTTTCATTTAAGTTCAATTTTTGAAAATTGAACTTTCAGCATACTTTCAGCACACTTGTAGCACATTTTTGCACATTTATAAAAAAATAACACCAATTCATTTAATATTCAATATTATAATCAATTTTACACAAGAAATGTTCACATAGGTATACGGTAAATAAGAATATGAAGTTAAGTTTTGATTACGTAATCATTGATTTCTATGTAGTACAATAATTGTTGATGAAATATACGATTGGTTTACAGTCTTCAATTTGTAATTAATTGCTCATGAGCAAAAAGATTTAAAAAATTGTTGATACAAATAGCCAATGGAAAGTTTTAATTTTAGTGGAATTATTTACAGTTTGAATCTCCTAATTAATTACAAATTGAAGACTGTAAACTAATCGTATATTTCATCAATAATTATTGTACTACATAGAAATCAATGATTACGTAATCAAAACTTAACTTCATACTGATCTTATTTACCGTATACCTATGAGAACATTTCTTGTGTAAAATTGATTATAATATTGAATATTAAATGAATTGGTGTTATTTTTGAAAATTGAACTTTCAGCATACTTTCAGCACACTTGTAGCACATTTTTACACATTTATAAAAAAATAACACCAATTCATTTAATATTCAATATTATAATCAATTTTACACAAGAAATGTTCACATAGGTATACGGTAAATAAGAACAGTATGAAGTTCAGTTTTGATTACGTAATCATTGATTTCTATGTAGTACAATAATTGTTGATGAAATATACGATTGGTTTACAGTCTTCAATTTGTAATTAATTAGGAGATTCAAACTGTAAATAATTCCACTAAAATTAAAACTTTCCATTGGCTATTTGTATCAACAATTTTTTAAATCTTTTTGCTCATGAGCAATTAATTACAAATTGAAGACTGTAAACCAATCGTATATTTCATCAACAATTATTGTACTACATAGAAATCAATGATTACGTAATCAAAACTTAACTTCATACTGTTCTTATTTACCGTATACCTATGTGAACATTTCTTGTGTAAAATTGATTATAATATTGAATATTAAATGAATTGGTGTTATTTTTGAAAATTGAACTTTCAGCATACTTTCAGCACACTTGTAGCACATTTTTGCACATTTATAAAAAAAATAACACCAATTCATTTAATATTCAATATTATAATCAATTTTACACAAGAAATGTTCACATAGGTATACGGTAAATAAGAACAGTATGAAGTTAAGTTTTGATTACGTAATCATTGATTTCTATGTAGTACAATAATTGTTGATGAAATATACGATTGGTTTACAGTCTTCAATTTGTAATTAATTGCTCATGAGCAAAAAGATTTAAAAAATTGTTGATACAAATAGCCAATGGAAAGTTTTAATTTTAGTGGAATTATTTACAGTTTGAATCTCCTAATTAATTACAAATTGAAGACTGTAAACCAATCGTATATTTCATCAACAATTATTGTACTACATAGAAATCAATGATTACGTAATCAAAACTGAACTTCATACTGTTCTTATTTACCGTATACCTATGTGAACATTTCTTGTGT